TTCAGAGGATTCTTTTGTGGTCCCTGGAGAGTATACTTGCAGACTTGGACGTGTGCTTGTTAATACTACAAAAGAATGTTGCTTCTTGCCTGCGTATTTCATTCCTCAGTATATGGCATGAACTTCTGAGACAGTATGCTTTTCACTAGTCAGCAAGAAAAATAGGCTTTTTTGCCAGTTGAGTATTTCGTTATATATTTTAGCTTATAATTTCTATCCAAATGGAAAACCTGGAAAGTGAGGTGATTTCTTCCTGAACCCAGGAAGAGCTAGAAAAATATGTGTTCAATCTATGTGATAGATTTACTCCACAAAGACAAAATCATTAGAAGCATTCTCTGTTCACTGCAGCTTCCTAGGGTTTGTCCACACAAAGAAATATCGTTGATTTAATATAGATTATTTTGATTAATTTTTTTAATTCTTATTTTAATCTGGAAGTAATATATGTGAATTCACCTGCAGTATGTAAATATTTATAAGCCAGGGTTAAAAGTAGTATAAGCTTCATGGCATTATTTAATTACGGCTTTTATTATCTGTATAACACTTTCTTTGATGTAAAACACTGTAGCCCCAAATTGAACATTTATGTTTACTGCTTTTCAAGATGCTATCTCAAATCCTTGTATGTTATAGCTGGGCTGTTGCTGCAGCTGCCTAAGCTACATGGCTGCAGAATTTGCTAAGAATCATGGATAAGTGGTGATGTGGCAGTTCTTTATGTTGAAGTGTTTTATACTTGTTAGTTATTTCAATTTCAAGAGGAGTTATGTGTCCTTCAAGAAGAATTCAGGGAAGGTCACTGGAAGTACTTTGAATATATTTGGCATTTAATGATTTTCTTTGCCTCATCACTGCAAAGTAGTTGGCTTCCAGCCAAAGTTAAAGTAAAGCTTGCTATCTACCCATAAGCCCTAATGAGTAAGCATGCCTGTTAAAAAAAAAGTCCAACATGGAAGTTTGTCTGTTATTCTCAGGAGGAAGTGGTGTTTTCTGAAAACCTGGATAAGTGTACTGTACTCATTCAACCAGAGCCAAATTTGTTTCTATCACTACTTGTTGGAAAAGGTTTTGATCTGAAAGTAGTAAATTTATGAAGCTGGGGAGGGATGGTGATCAGGGTAGCTTTGAAACAGAATTTGCAGTGCTGGATGCTGTTTGCCTAGTTTTCAAATTAACTATTTTACACATAGTGAATTTGTTTATCTTTGCAAACATCAAATGTGCAAAATTTGTAACTGAAAACCAAATTCCAACTCTTTCACTATCTGTGCTTTCCCATAATTAGAAAAAAATATAAGATATTTGCTTCTCCGTTGCATTTTATACAGAAATTACACAAAGATATCCTCTCCTTTTTGTTTCCATACAGCCACAGAAGGCAGAGTTACAAGCTAAGCTTTAGTTAGTAGCAGGTGTTCCACACTTCCGTTCACAATCATCATTTAAAATGACAATGCATTGAAAAGCATCTTGAACTTCATAATCTTTTTAGGAGATGTCTCTGCCTTTTCTTTTTAGGTTTCTGCAATTGTCAGGTGAGAGCTAGCCTGTACTTGCAATTAACGGGCTCCTTAGAGTAGTGTTGAGAATCAGAAATTACCGTTATCATGAGCTTTCACACTATGATATAAATCTGTGTGGGCTGTGGAATTTCTGCTTTGCTGATTCTAAGTTTTCAAATTGTTTTAAGAAACCTAGAAATTGTCACATTTTATATGTTTATTTCTGACCAACTGGTATGATAAATCAGGTAATCTGCACATACTTCACATGTCTCACAAGTGTGGCTAAGTACTTTGGATACACAGTGCTCAGAGATTTAAGTGTCTTAGGCAGCATGGGATGAAGCATGCAGACTGCCTCAGGATTATGTACTGAGAGTTTAGGTGCAGCTGAAATAATGCCGTGAAAGGAAGAGAGGGTGTGGATGCCTTCTTTGTGTACCGAGGGAGAGCACAGTGGGCATAATTGATAGTACTATTACGCTCCTTAATTTCCTTTTCTGTATCCCAGTGAATCTGCTTCTACCTTTGTTTTTAATATACAAATGGATTTGAATCAGAAAGTATGCATAAGAAGAATATTTAAATCAGAATCTTAAGGGAAAACGTAAAAGAATTAAAACTTGGATCTGTCTTTACCTAGTATACCAGCCAGTGAGGATCAAAAAAGATCTGTGCCTTCTCCACTTGTTCACATTCATGCATCTTAAAATAAAGAGAACACTTAAAAGTACCGATGCATTGTTGTAATACCTTTTAGCAGTTAATGTAAATACATACATAAAAATACACATAAGAAACATAAAATATGTATATACAGAAAACAAGCCTACTTATGGGCTGATACTCAGAATATGAGAAACAGTAACTGTTCTGCGCATGTCACTTTACTAAATTGCCCTATATTGTTGAAAAGCATTTTCCTGTTTAATACCTTTATTACCAAGGATTTTATCAATGGTTGGTTGAGTGTAGCAAATGCTAAGGACTAACTGTTGTTTGTAGAGGCTGCCAAAAATAGATTGTCTGTTAAAAACATGGGGAAAAAGATAGGATATAAGTGATTTATAGAAAATTGCTATTTAGAAGCAAAGAAACTAATCCAGGAAGAACTGGTTTGCACACCATTTTTAATAGATTATAAACCATCCTCTGTTTTAATGTAAACACAAATGTACTTACCTTCTTAATAATGATGTGTTCCCTAATTGTTTTCAGTGTGTATTTAAGAAGCATACAAATGGTAACAGCCAATGGACTAAAAATGTCTGGACTTTACAGTTACTTTATCTTTAAATTATTGGCAGAATGTGAGGAGATTTCTCTTTAAATATGTCAGGAGAAAAAGCTTGAAAATCTACACAATTATTACGTTTGTGCCAATAAAGGTTAGCTATCATTTGAGAAATATTTCTTTGTTGAATACAGTATGCATTCTTACATTTTTTTATTCTATTCCTTATTGATTTGTCTTGTTTGCATGATTTAATTTCATCAACATGTCAAAGCAAATTGTGATATTTAGCCACAAAGCAAAATAAATTGCAAGTGGTCATAAAAAACTGATACAGTTATAAAGTTTTACTTCACTTTTAACAGAGTCAGCATAATGCTATTCACAATCCCTTCAAGGAGAGATTGTTTAACTTCTACTATATATGGTATTCTATAACTTCTGACAATTGGATTTCAGATATCACAGCCCATGTTTATAGCATTCCTTAAGGACACCAGCTCCTTTTTCATCAGTTGTGCTCATAAATTATTTCCCTGTGCTCTCAGAAGCTCTGTTCCCCAGATCTACCCGTATTCTACCTATGTCCCTAAAACTAAAGATGAGCCTTTCAGGCAATTGAGTCATAGTCTATTTGTCTGTTATTTCAGCTGGCATTCTCAAGCAGAGCATTTCACAGTATCCTTCCTCTGTGTCAAAATATGGTTTTTGCCTAATAAAGCTTCATCACATAGTTTAACGGGAATTTAAATCTGTCTTCCCTAGATAGGCAACCATTTGAGCCCAGTGGCCACTTGCTTGCCCTCATACTGATGTACGAAAATAGCCTTCCAGCTTGCAGTTTCCTGTGAAAGAATGATTGCTGAGATCTGGTTTCTTTGACCTGATCCCCTCATATAATGTCTACTAAGGTCAAGATAAGTTACCTCTAATATCCAACAAGATTTTTTACTCAAATGGTTCCTGATCTCTGTCTGTTCCCAGAACCTGTCTATTTTGCTTAAGACTGGGGCTTTTCCTATGAAGGCAACTTCCCACCATATACGCTAGGTAGTATATGCTCTTTCAAATTGCCAGAACAAAATTCTTCAGAGGGACACTCTGTTTCCTCATGTTCACTGTAGAAAGATTTAAAGGACTGTCCTTTCAAAGGATCTCATACCACCTAGGAGATAATAAGAAGAATGCTATTAGTCACCTCTAAGTGTGACTTATAAGCACTCCCTAAGACTAAAGATCAAGCAGTAACACTCGCTGAGATCTCAAGGAGTAATGCTACCTTTGGGGGAGGTGTCCCAAATTTTTTACTTTACTAGTAATAACAAGGACCTTCTTCCAAGTTTTCACTAGTCAATAATGTGAATGGACAAAGTCACTGGGAGAAGAGAAATAAGCTATTCATCTGTCACTTCACTTCTTCAAGACATGTTGTCAGTATATACATTCAGAGCCCTCCCCCACTTCATTCTCTTTGAATTCAGTGTAACTTACAGATTTACTTATTGATAGAAATTGGAAATGCCTGGAACAGCATGTGTGGGGAGGGGAGAAGAAGATAAGGAAACAAAGGATGCAAGATGTGCATATATCATCATGCTAGTGTTAAAAAGCAGTGACTTTTTTAACAGTGATAGTGCAATACATTTTGAAAGAGAATTATCAAACTATTGTAGAAGAAAATCATAAAAGCCAAAGGCATAAAATCCAGTCAAATTAAAGTAGCTTTGGAGTTAATTAGGTATTCAGAATACAAAATATGTCTAAGTGTAAAGGATTTTCAGTAGGTCATCAGGATTCGTAACAGACTGAAGAAACCCTGTGTTGACTAGAAAGCTGCTCTTGAGGAGGGTGTTTACATGGTGAACCATTTCTCTTATGAACTATGCAAAAGCAAAGGGTCAGGAAGTTGCAAGCATCTGTTGCCTCTATCTGCTAAAATATATTATCATTTCCTTTCTGTTTTGTCCTTCAAATTAAAGTTGATAATTTTCTCTTTACAAATTAGTAGGTTTTCCAGCAAGGAGCTGTTCCAGGTACACCCACATTCTTTATACCTTTCTGAATAAAAATGTTAAGTGATGTTAAAAGCTGTGGCTGCCTACAGCAGCTACAGGCCTGGGACTCCGTCCTGCCCAGCTGCTGGAACCCAGCCCAGAGACATGGGTGCTGCTTTCCCATTTGCAGGTTAAACCATTAGAAGTCAAGCATGTATCCCAGAGACACACAGACACGTGCACACATGCAGACACACATAGAACATGACACGGCTGGCTACGCAGGCTGCCCCAGGCAAAGAACAGCTGCACGTCGCCAAGTCGGAAACCCCAAAGAACATGACACGGCTGCCTACGCAGGCTGCCACAGGCAAGGAACTGCCTTCAACAGCAACTGCCTAGAGGACTCACATAAAACATGACTGTAGAAAGCCAAGTCCCCTCCTCCCCTCTGGCTGGTAGAGATGGAAGCTCACTAGTGAAGGCACACACATGACACTTGCTAGATTCACAAGCACATGCACATTTGTGGATCCCTCAAGTACCGGCATGCCCCCCTGTGTCCATCCAATACCCCTGCCCAGATCTCAGGCTTTCTTACCCACTCCACAGGTCTCCTACTCTGTGTGTCATCAACAGACACGCTCACATGTAACGAGACATGCACTCACACACCCATCCCCTGGGCACTCCACACTTGGGGGTCCCCCAAATACCAGCATGGACGCTCTACCTATCTGATACCCATGCCTGGACCTGGGGCCTCCTACTCGCAGGTAGTACATCTTGAAGTTTGCTAGCAAATACACTCACCTATACTCAGAAGCTGGCACGAGGCACACAGGCTGGGACCCGTGGTCCCACTCCAGCCACTGGCACTGAGTCCGTTGCTCGCTTCACTCATACCAGTCGTTCCCAGTGACTGGCAGCTGAGACCCTCACCCATGCCAGTAGCTGGTACTGAGACCCTCACTGGCTGCAGTTGCTGGCCAGTTGCCTGCACCCTCAGTCTGACTCCAGTTGCTGGCCCCAGACGCACTCAGGCCTCTCTCATCAATTACTAGCACCTAGACCTTGCAGCGCCCTGTACACACACCCACATACAAGCACACTTATCCTGGTCTCTCCCAGTAGCTGTTTTTTGGGACACACAACATTACTACCTCAGTGGCTGGTGGCTGAGACCCCCCATCTGCTCCAGTTGCTGGCACTGAGACTCCCACTGGTTCCATGAGCTGACACCACAGGTGGGGTTGCCTACACGCCTGGTCTGACTCCAGTAGCTGGCACCAAACTCACTCACACTGGTCCCCTCAGTAGCTGGCACTCAGTCCTTGCAGCACTCTAACATGTGGGATAGAGAGTGAGATTACACAGATAGTTAAGAAAGGATTTAATAAGAAGACAGGACAGACTGCGGTGATCAGGCACAGGGCTCAGTCAGACAAGCGTGCTGACCAGCCCCGTTTTGCATGCAATCCTCCCCTTTTATACCCCTTCAGGTCTGTTCCTCCTTTGTTCCTCCCCAGTTCCCTGATTGTACACATGGCCTCACTGCTTTGCATAGTTTCACCAACACAGCCCTCCCCCAGTATCCCAGACCACTGGGTTTGCACCCTTCTCAGTTGCAAAGTCCAGGCCAACATTCTTTGAAGTGATGCCTGAAGTTTCTTGATAGCCCATCCATTAGTGTGACTGACAAGTTGGTTTCTTGTCATTATTTCTGTTACTTTTTGTTTGTCACATCTGTGTTTTGCTTATTGCCTTTCCCTTTTCCTTATCATCCCATTTTGACACGATTCTCAATCAGATAATCTTACTGAAATAAACATCCCGACACTCTGCATGCCCATACCACTTAGTGTAACCAACCAGGTTTGGTTGTTGTTACTATTTCCATTTGTTGGTCAGGTTTGTACCTCTGCATGTTTTGGTTTCCCCCTTTTCCTTATCACCCCATTTGACATGCTTGTTGATCAGATAACCTTAAGGAAGCAAATGCTCTCTCCTACCACATACCTCATAAAAAGTTTATTTGTATGGTGTATGTGTTGTGTGTTTTTTCTCAACTCCGCTACAGACAATGCATAGGAGATGTGCTCCAGACAAGCTGGAGAATTAGATACGGATACTATTCTGGAACTCAAGGTTCCAGGTTTCCAAACATTATGATTCTGGAAGTTAAGAAGACCATAGTAATCTTATGCTCAAATACTGCTGAACAAATATATGCAGTAAATTCAATTTCATGACCTAGCTATTAAGTCTTTTTTACCTCAGTTAAACTTAGTAAAATATAGTGCAAAAAACAGATTAACATTTTAACAGTTTGTCTTAAAGGGGAATAAAAATCCTAAACAGGAACTGTGTCTTACCTTCTATGAGAAGTAAATACAGTTAAATTCAAAGGGCAAAGTCATAAAAAAATTCCTGTCCAAAATAATTTGCAATTATAGGTATCAGTTCTTTTTTTAGCAGACGAACCATGTGCCATCAATCATTTAAACAGAAATATTTTGCTGTCATATTTGCCATATACTATTTAATGGAATGAACAAAGATTGAAACAGTTTTTTTAAATATCTTTTTATTCTTCTTTGAACTGTGCAAGTTACACAGTATGTCTGATGTTTTGTAGATAACAATTATTCTTCTCATCAAGTTTGAAATGTATTATTAATTGGGAAAGACAAATTGTTCATAATTTTTACAGAGATTATAAGAAAGAGATTCTCTTATAATTTTTTTCTATAATATGGTTGAAAAGCTGAAGGAAATAGTGTATCATGATATTCTAGTATTTTTGTGATTTGTCTTTTATATTGTCACCTTTGTCACCTTAATGTTACTACTGGATATAGAGAAAAGTTCACCTTCAGTTAATGTAAAGATCTCCGTAAGGTTTATGTAACTACAGTGGTATAAAAGTAAATTTTGTCTTTTGGTTATTTTATTTTACTTTGACCTGTTATCAGCTGGTGATACAGAGTTTAATTTTATTCTCACAGTCACTCACGCAGAGTCCTGTATATGGATAGAAGACTCCTGACTGTCACATAGGCATTATGACTGGCGATGGCATTCCAGTAGTGTGGAATATTTTTGGAAGGTCCTCCGCTTTCAGAAGTGTGACTGTCTCCATTTTTTTTTTTTCAAAGCTAGTGAAAGAAATTTTGGAGAACAGTTTCTTCACTTGTATCTTGTGGAGGGAAGACCAACAGTTCGATTCAGCTGTGGAAACTCTCAGAACATTCTGACTGTATCTGTCAATCAATCCATTAGCAAGGGTATACCCATCCCTATCACAATAAGGTAAGAGTTTACCACTGTGTTACACTATAAAGAGTTTTAGCCGTATATATTGAGCAATAAAGTGTGGCCTCACTTTTTTTTGACAATAAAAAGACAAGTCATATTGGAAAGCAAAATAGTATGCATATTTGGAAACCTTTTTCATAAGGTAGTGTCCTTGTTTGAAAATACATTTTAGTTCACACAGATTAGTTCAGTCCTTTGGAGAATTTATGAATCATTCAAACTCCAGCCACTTCTACAGATACAGATGAAGTGACTGTAAGAACTGAATCAATTTAAGCATAATGTTGGAGGTTACAAACAGGTAGCTCATAATTTATGCTTATTAATTTACACATTGAATAAATTAGATTTGTCATCAGAATTCTAGTGCTAAATATAGGACTGATTTATTGTTTAATTTTAAGATGAAACATTAAAAATGGGCATGCTAACAACATCTTGCAATGCAGTAGGCTGTCATATCTACATATGCAACTGTACTGTCACCAGTATACAATGCAGGCTGACTAGTACTGTCATTTTTCATCTAGTACACACAATAGTTTACAGAATGGTTAACTTATAATTTTGAAAAAGGTATTGGTATCATGCCTTGGTAATAGATTAACTCTTATTCACTCATGGAATTTCATATGTGCAAGTTAGGAAAAAGGTAAGAATGAAATAATATAGATGTGTTATATTTATATTAGTAACATTAAAATAATGGTGAAGTATTTAATGTTTACTTTAAAAATATTTTAGAAGTAATTCTGACACCCGTCTAAAATTTCAGGTTACTGTGATTAATGTATTATTCTATTTATTACATAGTTAAAGTATCAGAGCTAATTGCTACACCTGAACTGTAAGCATTTGTGATGTGAGGGAACGTATTGCACAAGTTATTAAATTAGAGCTCGTTTTAGCTAGGACCATTTTTGCTGTTAGAGGATGGTATATGAAGGACACTGCAAAAGTTACCCTGAAACATGCACATCAGAGTTTCCAAACTTACCTTCTTACTACCGAAAAAGGAAAATAAAAGCATAATCCGAAGATTTTTGTATTTGCCTTCTGAACTGTTTCTGTATGATGTAAATGTTGTGACATTCTGAAATGTTGCTCATGCCAGGAGGTTTGATGGTCTCAGTATGTAGAGTAGATTGGTATGGGGAGAAGAGACTGTTTAGGCTTTTTTTTGGTTAGATTTTATGCTCACCCTGTAAGCTTTACCATATTCTTTTAGAAACAAACTTCTTAGAGTATAAATATGAAACCTCTTTTCAATATATGGAAGGATGAAAGGATCTACCATTTAAGAAACTGGTTCTTTCCATCTTTCTTCTCAGCCACAGGCCTGTACATTTCTCTTACGCTTCATTTAAAACAGTTTTTTTCTTTTCATAGAATTATAGAATCATTAAGGTTGGAAAAGACCCTTAAGATCATTGAGTCCAACCGTTAACCTAGCACTGCCACGTTAACCACCACTAAACCATGTCCTCGAGCACCACATCTACCCATCTTTTAAATACCTCCAGGGATGGAGACTCAACCACTTCCCTGGGCAGCCTGTTCCAATGCCTGACTACCCTTTTGGTGAAGAAATTTTTCCTAATATCCAACCTAAACTTCCCCTGGCGCAGCTTGAGGCCGTTTCCTCTCATCCTATCGCTTGTTACTGGGGAGAAGAGACCAACCCCCACCTCACTACAACCTCCTTTCAGGTAGTTGTAGAGAGCGATAAGGTCTCCCCTCAGCCTCCTCTTCTCCAGGCTAAACAACCCCATCTCCCTCAGCCGCTCCTCGTAAGACTTGTGCTCCAGACCCTTCACCAACTTCATTGCCCTTCTTTGGACACGCTCCAGCACCTCGATGTCCTTCTTGTAGGGAGGGGCCCAAAACTGAACCCAGTACTCAAGGTGCGGCCTCACCAGTGCTGAGTACAGGGGCACTATCACCTCCCTGAGGTGATAAATACTATTTTTATTCTATATTAGTATTAATGCCTAGAATTAATGAAGCAAAGTCACATAGCATACATTCAAATCTAATTACTTGTTAGCTGAGAGTGTATTAATATATTTTAGGATTTTTGTACAAATGGTAAATGTATATAAAATTCACAAAGAAAATTCTAACCCTTCCTCTCCCTAGGAGCCAGCAGATAAAGAATTTTTTTCTCTTAGAAGATACTTGATAGAAGTATACAGCTCAATACTAACAAACAATTCTAAGCTTGTTGACACGAGTCTTGTGTGAGACATTGGTCAGCTAATTGTCTGCACTGTATTAGCTGTGATAGCATTGTCTCTGCTTCATAAGATTAAGACATTAAAATGCTGTACAGATTTCAAAGCCTAATAATATCTTAGCAACAAATGCAGCTAAATGGCATTGAAATATTGATTCTAGTTATAGACTTCAAGTTCACACTGAAAAATAAATTTATTTCCCTCTTTTTTGCCTTAAAATTAACACCTGTATATTTATGGCTTCATTCTCCATGTTGTTACAGTAAAAGGTAATGTCAGTTCAATTTACACATTACCTTTGTTTACTGGAATTTATACTGCTATCTTTAAAACAGTGGTATACTAAATAACTTGCAAGGTGTGATTGTAGACTGTGACTGGTGGGGATTTACATGCATCTGAGTTTATGGGCTTGGCCTTCAAAATGACTAGTGACTATTCTTGTGAGTCCTTCTGAAATGTAGAGAGAGCAGTATATCCTTCACCAAGCAGCAATAAAGATGTAATCCTTCAGCAATCATCCTTAACCTCTGCCAAAGAAAAAAGCAAACTTGACAAGGCATTTGTGGCCCCCCAGGATCTTGTATCATAGGCTATAAAATATGAATCCATGACAAAACTGTTGATTTGTGTTCATTTAGTGGCTGTTGAAGATAGATAACTCTATCTGTATGTTTTACCTGCAAAATTAATGATTTTTCCCCCTGTAATCCAGGAAAAGAGACAAAGACTGGAATAAATAACTATTTTTGTTACTCTTTGAAAACGGTCCAATTGGGAGACAATATTTCTGTTAAACTGTACTTTGGATAAAGCTACAAGATCATATTTGACAGATATTGTAGTTCTGGATGCAACTATGGTTCCAGTGGATAAACAGCATAATTAGCGTGACCCATAACATCTATAGAAGTAGATTTTCATCTTCTTAAACTTTTTCTTTCTAAATCCACCATATACAGGAAGCTAAGTTATCCCCATATTTCACAGCTACTACTTTCTCTTAACTATATGATTAGTTTACTTAGATGTTGCCATTTCTTTCAAACCTGGTGAAGATTAAAGAAGTTTTAAATGTTCAGTCATTGTCTTTACAGTCTGTGTAAAACAACAGCTTTATAGAAAAAAACAATAAAACTGATTGCTTACCTTTTTTGGCTTGCCTAAAGAAACTAGAGCCCTGTTTCAATCCAGTTTTATTCATTGTTTCAATATCTATTTATTTTAGAATAATTTGATTGCTGGTTTTGAAAATGTGTGTTTGTTTGGGTTTAATTTTTTGTGATTTCATAATTGAGATTGTATTGATCTTTTCAGTTAAAGCTTTGAGCACATACTTGAGATATAGTTTGGATTGCTTTTGTGGATTTGTTCTTTAAAATTATTCAAAGAACATTAGTTCAAACACATTTCATTCCATGTGTGGGTTCTGAAATGCGCTTGCCTGATGCAAAGTTGGCTGTACGTTATTTGTCGTTAAAGTGATGTGACTGTCACTGGGGCCAGATGGTGTTTCTTCAATTCAGTGGTTGAAGGAAAGTAACTTTAACAAGCAAGAGATTGAGATAATCAAGTCAACAGGATTTTTCTAGATAGTGGGATGGACTTTAGCTTTTAGAGTAGGAATACTGATTTTTTTTTAGACATCTTACATTTTTTGTCTCTAAATGATAATTTTTTAAATTACATTTCTTTAAAAAGTTTAGATTGTCTGTTCTAGACAGTGATGGGGAACACCAGATTCTTTTCTGTTTGGAAGATTCTAGGCAAACATTAATTAAAATCATGCCTGTATAGGATAGTGTCACTCTTTTCCATCTTATTTACCTGCAGGACTGTCAGAATTCTGCTCTGGAATTTAATGAACATAGTGCTCATCCCCACAGAGCTTTATGGTTGTATTTTGTACATTAATATTTCATCTATCTTCCAACTGTATATGCAGTTGTTTCCAGTTTTCTTTCACACTTTAATTAGTGATATGGATGTAAGCATTTACTCATGGCTGAGAAGGGCACCTTTAGCTGTCCATAAAAGCATTTATTTGTTAACTAAATTATTCAGTTAATGTTGTTTGGCCAACTGTAGCCTAGACCATGCAGTTGTACAGAAGCTGCTGAAGTTTATTATTTGGTCTTCATGCTTCAAAAGCAGATGGCATGTTCTGAACTGTGAAAGTCCTAAACATGTTTTTTTAGCTCCACATGGAAACTTTGGCAAGACTGAGTGCAAACCACATGATGATATTATCAGTGTCCATGTTTTTACCTACACTTTCACTTCCCCCTTTTCCACAAAAGAGACCGTTGTTTGAACTGATCTTACAAAGTTTTTTATTGCATGTGCATTCTGCAAATGTGTTTTTAAAAAGAATATGTAAATCACCATCCATACAATCTGTTGACTCATTCTGAGTCCTGAGGTTTACCTATTTCATTTCATCATTCCAGAGAGATGTATGTTTTCATATTAGTGCATACTTTTAAGTCATCATTTTATTAGTATTTACAGGTGCCAGGTGCTCTGAGTAGTGTGCAAGTATTACTGAAAATTACATTAAATCAGTAAAACAAAAATTACTAATTTTCTGGTGTTTTCCTATTGTTTCCAACATTACCAGTTACCTAGGAATACAGGATTTTTTTTTATTTGAGGAACTGGAAACATCTGAGCAGCTCTTTGTAAATGTCAGTGGCTTTGTGTCTGAACAGGTATATAGTGTAGCCTATATTCGTGATGTGTGGAAGACATTTTGCT